GCTTGCAAAGCTGTAATATTTACTGGGCCTTCGTAGAAAAAGTTTGCCAGCCCCTACAGAGGAGACCTATACTGGAGTAGGAAATGCTATAAGAAATGTAAGCTGAACTGACAAAATTTAAATATGGATTCCAGATTAAAGTCATGTGTCAATTTAAAGTTTTTAAGTTATCTATTGTGGTTGTATAAGAGAATATTCCTAGTCTTAAGAAATCCACATTGAAGTATTTAGAAGCAAAATACCAAGACGTATGTAACATTTCCTCAAAAGGCTCTGAAAAGTGTGTGTGTGTGTCTGCACAGAGAGGGAAGGATGGAGGGAGGCAGGAATAAGAATGAGGAAGAGAGAAAAGCAAGAGGGCAAGCAAACGACAAAAGCCAATGGGAGAAAATGGTAACATTAGGTGGATTTGTAACTCTGTGCTCTTTTTACTATTTTAATTATTGCACTTTTTTGTAAATTTGAAATAATTTCCAAATTTAACAGGAAAGAAAAATGCTATGGATTGATTGAATTGTATCCCCCAAGGTTCATGAATTGGAAACTTGGCCCCCACTGTGACTGTTAAGAGGGTGGGAAATCCTATTATGGTAATTTAAAGGTGGATCCTTGAAGAGGTGATTGGATTGTAGGACCGTGCAGTAGTGAATGGATAAAAAATGGTGGTCAGAGGCATGGTTCTGAGGGCTTTAAAGGAGAGTGCAATAGGAAGTTGGTATCTCACTCTCTCTGCTCTACCATTTTCTGCCACGTGAGGTCACTGGGTCATATTGCCACCACCATGGCCTTCACCAGCTGTGTTCCCTGGACTTTGGACTTCCCAGCCTCTGAAACTGTAAGCAATAAATTTTGCTTTCTTATTAATCACCCAGTTCCAGTATTTTGTTAAAAGCTACAGAAATGGACTAATACAAAAAGGAAAGAAAGAAGGAGATGTAGGCTCTGGAGTCAGCTGCCAGGGCTTAAATCTCATTTCTACTGCTTAGGGGCTATCTCATCTTGGACAAGTAACTTAACCCCTTGATTATCAATTTTCTCACCCATAAAACACAGGTATCAATAGTTTCGACCTTCTAGTATTGTTCTGAGCACTCATCAAATTAAACACTTTTGTAAATAATAAAAATAACAATAACTGAAGCAGTAATAACAGAATCTTACTATGAGCCAGCTGCTGTCAAGTGTTTCATAACAACAGTCTTAGGCAGTATTATGCCCATTTTCCAGATGAAAAGCTAGAAAGAGACAGGGGCCAGGATTCAAACCCTAATAAACCTGACTCTACACATAACCTCTTAATCACTCATTACACTATAGAACGATTAAACAGCTTGAACAAATTCCCTAGTAAACAATGATGGTGTAAGACTTGTGTCAAGTCTATTTTTCAGTGAACCCTGAGTGTTTTCCATTCTTCCTGTCTGAGGCATTGTGTCCCTTGCTGCACAGACCGATGTCTAGAACTCGGCAGATGTTCAATAAACACAGCTGAATTGGCCCGAATGAGATAGAATACTATTGATTTCCTCTATTCCCATGTCTACACTGGGAAGAAAGAAGAAATCTTACTCACTGATATAAAGTACTGGTCTAAGATAAAAATTTCCCTGTTTTAAATATTCCTTTGAATGTGGCCAGTGGTTTCAAAAGAGGCCCTGTAGTATAAGAACAGCCAATAGGCTAGAGGGCAGAAGGCTGTGGTTCTAGATTTGGCTTGGCCATTTAAGCAAGCCTCTTCACCATTCAGACCTGTTTCCAGATGGGAAACGTGACAGGGTTAAATCACACATCTCCACACCTCAGAAGAGATCTTCTGATTCTAGGCCTTATATGATTTCTATAAACAGTTTTCCAAATACCATGTACAGAACACAATCAAACATAAGAAGGTACATAAGAAGAGAAGTCAACATGAATAAGCACTAGTAGAAGTGACAGACAACAGAAACAAATACACAGGGACTTTAGATATTGGAATTATCAGATACAAACAATAAAACAACTCTATGTCCGATATTCATGAAGATAAAAGAAAAGATTAAAAACTTCAGCAGGGAACTGGAAATTATACAAAATGACATAGCATATTTGAAACAAACAAGCCAAACAGAAATTGAAAAACATGATATCCAAAATTAAGAAACTGACGATTAAATTTAATAGCATGTCTTGAAGCAAGAATTAAAGAACTGGAATATAAATCAAAAGAAATGGTCCAAAATGAAGTATGGAGAAACAAAAGAACAAAAAATACAAATAAGAAATCAAGAGACATAGAAAATACAGTGAGGTTTAACATATGTTTAACTGGATTCCTAAAGGAAAAGAAATAATGGAGAAGAAGAAATAAAGGCTAAAATTTTTCTACAACTGATAAAAATGACCAATCCACAGATTTATGAAGCTCAAGGAGTTCCAAGAAGGAAAAATAAAAGGAAATTTTAAAGCATGTTCTTCAGGAAGAAAAAAATCTCAGACAGAGAGTCAAAGATGCAGAAAGGAATAGAGATCAAAACAGTGTTAAAAATGCAGATAAATCTAAATGAATACTGACTGCATAAAGCAATAATAATGTCTCTATACATTTATAATTAATAGATGCAATAATAACAGCATGAAAGCCAGGAAGGGAAAAATGAAGGGCAAGTGTTCTAGAGTCTTTGCTTTGCACAGTTAGAGGGTAACAGAAGACTTTGATTATTTAAGGATGCATGCAGTAATTTCTAGGGCAGCTATTCAAAGAACAGAAAAAGAACATATAATTCCACATCTAACTAGAGAAAAAACTAGACCTGCTGTGTCTAAGGAAGTGCAATGCTGCTGGAGAGCAGAATGAGAGGGGAAGTGCAGAGGCCAGTCACACCCTTAGACCTGCTGTGTCTAAGGAAGTGCAGGAAGTGCAATGCTGCTGGAGAGCAGAATGAGAGGGGAAGTGCAGAGGCCAGTCACACCCTGCAGGCCCCATGACAGATTCTGATCGTCATGCTAAAAGCAATGGGAGGTCCCTAAGGCTTCTAAGCAGCAAAGAGCTATATTCTATAAGGATTTCTTTGGCTGTGGTGTGAAGAACAGACTTAATGGTGGAAGGGAAAATTTCACCACTATTGTCAGGATTATTTCCATAGGACTGCCTTTTTAATCACGTAATTTTTTTAAGGCTCTATCTTACCTAAGAAAGTACCAAAGCTAGAAAATGAAAATCAGTTTTTGCTTTTTTTTTTTTTTTTTAAATTTTTAAGATTTACTTTGGTAATTTAATTCTCTTTGTGGCTACTTTAATTAACATTTCAAATACCAGATGGCCTTTATTTCTTTGTTCCTTGATCCTCCTAGAAATATTTTAACAGGTCAGATATACCCTACTGCAATCAAAGCATTAGGGCCTTTTCACCTCATATTTGTTTGAGACTATAGTGTGTGAAATTTTAATTTAGCGATTCTCATATTATTAAATATTGTTAACCTGAGAAGCTGTTAAGAAAGCCACTTAGGGCCGGCCCGGTGGCGCACTGGAGAGTGCGCCACTTGGGAGTGTGGCGGCGCTCCCGCCGAGGGTTCGGATCCCATGTGGAGACCGGTTCCTGCTCACTGGCTGAGCGCGGTGCGGGCGCAACACCGAGGGTTGCGATCCCATTGCCAGTCCCTGGTACGGGCACGACACCGAGGGTTGTGATCCCGTTACCGGTCAGTAAAAAAGACAAAAAGGAAAAAAAAAAAGAAAGCCACTTAGATTATGGTTGGGGGGTTGGGGGATTGGTCCTTTCATTTTCAAATTAAGCCTGACTTGACTTGCATAGAAAGTATTTACATAAGAAGAGGCAGCACATCCTTGACTTTTATTACCTTTTTGGTATTAACCTATTTTTATTGTGGTATAATTCACGTACCATAAAATTCAGCCTTTAAAGTGTGTGATTCAGTGGTTTTAGCATAGTTACCGAGTTACACAACCAACACCACTATGTAATTCCAAAACATCCTCATCACCCACCAAAGAAATCCCATACCTGTCAAGCAGGCCCTTCCTCTTCTGCTATTCCCTCAGCCCCTCGCAACCACCAATCTGTTTTCTGTCTCCATGAATTACCTATTCTGGACCTTTCCTATAAATGGAACCATACAGTACGTGGCCTTTTGTGTCTGGCTTTTTTCATCTAGAGTAATGTTTTCAAGGTTCAGGTATGTACATTTTTTTAAAACGCATTTTTTAGTGGCGAATTTGAACAGAAAACTAGGCAGAGTAGTATAACTACCTCTACAAATCCACCATCTGGTCTCACCAACCCTCATCCCTGTATGCCTCACCTTATATTATTTTGAATCAAATCCCAGACACCACCTTATTTCTTTGTAAATATTTCAGCAAGGACATAAATATTATGATAACTATTCCAACACTGGTGTTCTGATAAGGGATTTTTCTTCTTATTCCTACCTCTCTACCAAGAACTGGATTTTTCCTTTGCTCAGTGGTTATTTACTTAAGAAAGATAATAGATTCGGGGACTTGTTCTGTCTAATAAAATACTAAAGGAGAAAAATGGAAATAATGTCATGAACTAAAATCCCAAAGAAAATTCTCCTGATGCCGAGATTCAACGTGTTCTAAAACTGGATAAATACCTCAATATTTCTTCTGGCCGCTAGAAACTCATATAAGCATTATTCGCTGTCTTAGTTTTTCCTCATCATTCCAGGAAAGAACTAGAGGTTATTGCAAGGATGTTTTGCTTTTGTTTTTTGGGCATTCGTCTTTCTAAAAATTACAAACCAGAAAGCACTTCAAGATGTCTAGATGAGAGCTAAAAAAGAAGCAATTTCACACTGAAAGGAGCTAATGAACCCAATAGACCGAATTTAGGGCTTGCTTACTGTTGGTTTTAGAAAAGGTAGCAGACAAGAAGATATTCCATATAATAAAGTGAGGGGGAAATAAACAGAAAAAAGTGAAGCAGTACGGATAAGGGGGACAGGAGAACACATGTCTGAGTTATTCTTACCTTATTGTGTGCTATCAGGAGGCAATTAGAATGTTCGTGTTCACACGCAATTTCGTAGTCAGGGATCAGATCCACCAACTCTCGGACAAATCGTACCACCTCCTCATGCCAGGGCACATTGGCCATGGTAAGACTGCTGGCAGAACTTTCTCCACAGTAGGTAACACCCTGTGGAAACATGGCAACCATCAGAGATGATTAAAGACCTGCTTGAATGTCATGCAGTAAGACTTTCAGAGCCAGAAAGGCCTCCTGAGGTCATACAAACCAGTCCAACCCATATTTGAAAGTGAAGAACGTGATACCAAGATGACAAAATCTACTTAGGAGATGACACAAGCAGTCAGTGATGAAGACAACACCAAAGGCCCCAGTTCTCCCCACCCTCTGAGAACGCTGGGCTTGAGCACCTGAGAGCTCTGTGCCACGTCACAGCCTGTGCTGTTGAGCCAAAGCAACAAATGTGAATCCACAGCCCATCTTCCCAGTCAGATTCACCTGTGCACTCCAATAGGTTAATTCTGAAGGGCTTGTATATATTCCCCTAGTACAACAATGGGGGTACAGCACATACTCATAAAAATCCACTGTCTAATTCACTGGGAAAATGTGAGCTTCCATTTTCCAGTACAATTGAGATTGGGGAACTTTTTCTGTAAAGTGCCAGATAAGGATCCCTTTGAAATTATCTCTCTAAGGAGATCACTTTGTAATATACTAGGAATATGGTTATATATGAACAAAGAATCATGCCAATAGAGAAAAATATTTGTGGATATACATACATACCTTTCCACATGCCAACACATATACATATATCTCGCCAACATAGAAATTCCTATTACGTAGGTACTTCAAAAAGTTGATGAAAAGATTCACATTATCTTTTAATTCTGTTTTTTCCACTGACTTTTTGAGGTACCCTCGTAAGAACAGCTGCAGTAAAATAAACTAGCTTCTAACTCTTTTGAATTCTGACAGCCCAGGCATAGACCCAAAAGTTTCATAACTGAGTTCTCTATTTGGTAAGTAACATAATGAAAATGATTAATTTTCTAATAATACGTGGTACCTTAACTCTGTGGGCTCTTCAAATACCCTCAAAATCAAACTTTGACAATCTGTTTGAATATTGTAGATATGCTTGCACTAAGTGGGGAATAAATAAAATTAAGGTATGTGCACCACTTACATGCACTCTCTGTCTCTTTCTCTCTCTCTCTCACACACACACACAAACACCATACAGAGACTGAAAGAAGGAGAATGACATTACATTTTTAAAAACCCACAAATGAACACTGCAGAGTGACCCTGACACTACGGAAGGCAGAATTGGAACTTGGCTGAAGACTCAGAGGAGCTCTGCAAAACACTCTCATCCAGATGGCAAAAAGGTTCCTGGTATATTAACTGAGATGGCCTTTGGGGAATATAAAGTACAGGCTACCCAACTTAATTATGATAAAAAAGAGAATCTTCTCTGTTTGCCCAGTGATTTATAGAATTCATTAAACTGAGTTCGAGTGTTAGGTGAATAAGAGAAGCAAATAATAATATAGTTCAAAAAATCATTAAGAAAGCATGGCTGGAAAACTGTGCTAACCTTGTTCAAAAGCATGAAAAACACAAGAATGATTTATTGATAGATCAAATTAGTCATAAAAATGCACTTCAATTTCAACACGGCTTATGCTGTATGAATTATATACACAACCATGTATGTAGTAGCTAACTCAAAGGAATTTTTTTTAATATTTAAAAAGTGAGTCCACTGAAGCACAGAGGTTTTAGATGAGATCTTATATTCATGACAATGGCCTTTGAAAATATTTTAATATTTTATTATTCAGCAATAATAAATCATGAACCATTAAGGGGAGATTTGGTTTGGAAATTGTGGAATATACTATAAAGCATATGTACTTCACAGGACCTGGTTTTCCAAAGCCTTGCAGTTTCAAATACTGACCTTGCAGAGGACTGGAAATTTCCCTCAGGCTGTAAGTCTCTTGCTAGATAAAGATTGCGGCACAGCAGGTTGCTGGCTCAAAGACAGACTAGTTACTGATTGTTGTGTAAAGATACTGAGAAATTGCTGTTAAGAAGGAATGTTTGCTAAGATCAAACTGTTGTTGAAAGGACGACTTAATTGCCTTACTGGAATATCATCTGGCTTGTTTCACTGAAAGTTACCAGCCTATACTGTTAAACTATAACCCCACCTATGTCTCTTCCTGTAACTTCCTGGTCTGGAAAATAAATGCAGGAAGAGAATCCCAATTCGGCGTTAATTTCCTGAGGAAGGGAGATTAACCACTTCGAGGCCTCTCACTGCTCAGTGGAGATGAGCTTTGAGTAATCCTTTCATCTCCGTCACCCAGGGGAGTCGGGTGACAAATCCGTGGGGGGCGAAGCAACGCAAAGCAACAAAATGGTGCCCCATGTGAGGACGTTCTCCACAGATTGGAGACTGACCTGCCAAGCATTAGAGAGGAATAGGACGTCCGATTCATCCCACAGCAAGGAAGTCCCTAATAAGGGAAACGCATCTCGGTAAGAGAATCACAGGTGGCTTTCGATTTGCGATTGCACGCCTGCGGCAGGTCAAAGTTAGGCTTTTTCAACCCTGGAGATATTTTTTCATTTTCTTTACTTTTAAAATATGGATAATTCGTTAACGAAAGGGGAGATTGAACATACATTACAATGCCAATGTCTCCTTAAAGCAGCAGGCTGTAAGTAACTGAAAGGCAGCTTGTAAAACTGTTAGTGGATATTAAACAACCATGTCGTTGATACCTCAAGGAAGGGAGACTTAACATAAAAATTTGGGAACAAATTGGTCACTGGTTAATTATGCAATGGGTCTCATTAAGGCTTCCCACCTAACAACTAGGAATCTATGTCAAGTCACTCTGAGACCTATCCAAGACTTTAACAAAAAACTAAGACATGTTTATGTCACCAAAAAAGGATAAAACAATCTTTGCCATGACTGAAAAAACTTCAAAATTGGGCAATCTAAAGTAAAAGAAGTTAATATTTTTTTACAGTGTTAGTATTATTTGAGCATGCTTTACTTTCTTATCTGCACGATGCTTCTCTTCTCTCTTAAAAGCAATAGTTCTTTTCTTAACTGCATGTACTCTTTTTCTGTAAAGACTCTGGAGTTTTATGAAAAAAAGCAGCCATGGCGCCAAGCAGACCCCTTTTGGGTCTACTGCTCTTCTCCTAAAAACCTCAAGAGTCAAACGGTTTCATCTCTGATTAGTGGCTCAGCTCTTGAGTTCAGTAAGCCGTTTGAGAAACAAAAACTAGACTAAAATCTACCTGTTTAACTAGATGGTCTCAAATTTTCTGGCATCCACTTGGTTATTTTAAACAGACTTCTAAATTCTCTTCTGGTCTCATCTATGTATTTCTTCACAAAATCCTATTGGTAAAATTTCTATGCTATCTTCTTAAAGAAAGAAAATCTTCTCTGCATCTTCTTGAAAAGGCTTGCATACTTTGCTTTACAACGTAAACTTGTTATCTTGCTTTCTTTAAGGCAAGGTGAAGCCTCACCAAGAAGTCTTTTGAAAAAACACAATCTAAACCTGACTGTCCTTTTTACTAGTGAGCTTTTTTTTTACATCTTAAACAAAACCTATAAGATCTTTGTTTGTTCTCTTTGTTTATGTCTGCATATATGCATATGTAAGACGTATGTTATGTTTATATGTTCATGTCTGTTTGTGTAACTGTTTTATGTACAAGGTATCAAATTGGCTTATAATTAATGCATGCTCATTAAATAAATAAGTATACTTTTCAAGTTCACATGACTTAAATTTTCTAAAGTTTTGATAAATGTATTTTAAAAATTTGATTCAAACCTTTTACCTAAATTTGTCTCTAGGTCAACATGTCTCCTTGTTATCTCAGCTCTGCCTCTTGGCNTTTACCTAAATTTGTCTCTAGGTCAACATGTCTCCTTGTTATCTCAGCTCTGCCTCTTGGCCGTGCTGGGAGAAACAATACCTTTTAGACATAGATAGTGAATACTGCACTTTGCCTCTCTGGATTCCTCATGGCTCTAAATGCCATGTGGAATCCTGGGACCCGAAATGGCTAATGAAAGGAAACATGCCAAATATCGCATAGGCCCTAGTTAACACTAACTGATAAGGGTATAAATCTAATACACCAAGTTTTTGGCTGGGAAACCATAAATATGTATTTGGTAAATATAGCTAAAACTCAAACTGGGCTATGTGTAATTTGCTCTGATAAACGGACGCCTATTACTAAACTGAACGTATAAAAATGTTCTTATCAACACACATTGCTGCCTGGGTTTACTAATCAAACAGGATTACTAAAAGTCTTTTCACTTAACTGCTCTTGATGCAAAGTTGTAAAAGGTTTTCTTTGTCCCTTAAATAACTGGTTTAAAAAACTTGCTTTTAAGTTGTAAACCCCGCCAAAAACAAAATACAAAAAAACCTTTTTATATATAATTTTTAGACAAATTAGGCCAATTTAACATTGATAAAAAAGAAACAAGTATGTAAAAGGAAGGTGATTTAAAGAAGGCTATGGATGTGGGGATATGGTTATGGTTGGAGGGGCTAGAGAGAAAGAAAAATAATTTTATGTAAGAAAGCATCTGGTACAGTGTATTTTTCTCCTGAAGTAAAATGATTGGCTATTTAGAAAGTAGGAAGTATAGGACAGAAACAGAATGTCTGAGTAAGTCTTAATGATGGTTTATGTAGATAAGTTTGTTAAAAGGGTTTTACAGTAAAAAAAAATTAACTGGATTTAAAAACAAATTATGTGTTTTTCTAAAAATTAATGTCAAAAGTATTCTAATACAGGGTTAGAACTTGCTGTCCTGTGATGGAACAACCAGGTTTTCTAAAAAAAAAAAACACTTGACTGCTCTTATTACAAAATTGTAAAAGGTTTTCTTTGTCCCTTAGATAACTGGTTTAAAAAACTTATTTCATGATAAGTTCTTGTGCTCTCTGCCTTTAAAACGCTTTGTCACTTTGGTTTTACTTTTTGTAATAATTTGTGATTTTATTCAACTAAATGTTTTAAGCCTTTTTGTTATCTAACACAGCTTTCCAACACGAAATTCTGAAAGTTTAAAATAACTTTGAGGAATTCCAAGGGCC